AAAAAAAAAAAAAAAAAAGGAAAGGGAGGAAGCAGGCTGCTGTCAGTCACTTGGGGCATTTCTAGGCCAGTCCTGCCCTACCGGCTTCAACAACTTAACGCCCACAAAAGGGCCTGACTTCTTTGCAGCCAGCGCACGGATTCAAAAAGTCTGTTTCCCCATTTCGAGTGTTCAGTACAGACAAGTAAAATGCAAGCCAGTGGCCACAGCTAAAGGATTCTATTGGAACAGAGTGCTGGGTGGAATGAGGACTGGGTGAAGGACTGGATCAAGAACCTTGGGTTCAGGTTCCAGCCGTGCCAGGCCCTTGAGTGTGAGCCAGGGTCAATCGATCAACCTCTCTGAGGCTTGTGTCTTCAGTTAAATGGAGATGCTGACAAGGCAGCTTTGTAGGCTGATGTAGTCAGACATCCCTACTAAAACTCCAGGAATAAAGGACATGTCTCCTCTGGGGGTCTTTATGGCAACAGTCCCCACTGCTTGAAGCACCTTGCATGCACACTAATGTGATCCTCACGCCTGCCTCAGGAGGTGGGACTGTCCCCCTTCTGCAGGCGAGAATGCCGAGGCTCTGAGAAGGGAAGTGAGTTGCCCCAGGTCATGAGGGGGGTGGTGGTGGTGTCGAAGCCGGGATCCCAAGAAGGATGTTGCAGAGCCCACATCCCGCGTCTCACACCCACACTGCCACCCTGGGAAGGTGGGTACAGATCGGGTCGTGTGGCACACAGCCTAGGGCTCTGGGGCGGGGCGAGGGGGCACGATGACTACGTCCCCACCAGACTTTCTTGTGATCATCAGAAACACAAGGGCCAGCTGTTCCTTCCCATATCAGAAGCTTGAGGATGACAGCCACAGCAACACTGATGACCTCAACGGCAACCACAACAACCGTATCCAGCAGTTTGACTTCCTGGGGCCAGACGGCTGACCTTTCTGGAGCACTTGCCTTATTCTAGGCGTGGACTATGCTTAGTTCATCTCATCCCCACCCAAGCCTACAAAGGCAGGCACTATTATTATCCCCATTTTTCGGATAAGGAGACTGAGGAGGGGAGAGGTGAGCAACCCTTCCTGAGGTCCCTCTGGAGACGGTCGAGCCGGGACTCAGACCCAGACTGTGGCTCTGGGGCCCTCCGCAGGATGTCTGCACTGACCCCTCACTTCTCTGGCTCTCCTGGAGCCATGATGTGCATGTGCGAGGGGGCCAGTGGCAGTGAGTGGCCAACAGAGAAGACTGTCTCCTGTTCCACTGTCAATTCCCACCAGTGGGGGTGGAAAGAAATGCCCCCCCCAGTGGTACAGAACAGGGTGTTTTCCTCTGGGCTTCCTGAAGTGGGAAGGGAAGGGTCATGAATGGGGTTTCTAGGGCGTTCCTGTCCTGCGGCTTCCTCAGAGTCTGCAGGGCACTTGGCCAGCAAAGGTGGTGACACACAGAAGCAAGATGGCTCCTTGCCTTCTAACCAAAACATGCCCAGATACCCATGAGCGTCGGAACTCTGGCACAGGGAACCCTGGGCTGTGGGAGGGGATGCTCCCACCCTCATCCCGCAGCTGAGCCCAGCACGGATACAACGTAGGCATCGCCCCGTTCTGCAAATCCTGCAACAGTATGGTAGGCAGAGCCTGGTGCTGGGGGTCCCCCTCGGCTGCACTGCTCGCCTGCTGTGTGACGAGGCCAACCACGCCCTCTCTGTGGGTCTCCCTCCTCATCGGTCACATGGAGGCCGCAGCTGTCAGGCCAAGCCACCGCCATGTCTGCGAGAGCACTTTGCAGCAGAAAGGTAGCAAGTAAAACAGGAAAAGATGCTTGGTCTCACCCATTATCAGAGATGAAAACATAAACAAGGAAAGCCCGATGCTCACATGGGAAGGCACGAGACTGGTGTTAATGAAGCTGAGAGGGAAGAGGGCACTGGGGCACTGGCAGGACTGGAGACGAGGGCAGCTGTTGGGAGGGCAATCTAGCAGTCCCTCGTGGTTTAAAAGCAGTGCTTTGTGACCCAGACATTCCTCTGCTAGAGATTTCTATGGACGTACTTGCGAAAGGGCAGGAAGACGTATGTATAAAGCTATTCATTATTTAGGGAAGATGGTACACAAAATTGAGAGCAACCTCCATGTCCATCAACAGGGGATTGGGCTAAATAAGGGATGTGTAATTCGCCCAAAAATATGGCAGCTCTTTATTCACTGGCAGGGGAAGAATTCCCAAAGACAGTGAACCAAAAAAATAAGGATAAGTATGTATGCATGTATGAGGGTGTGAATCGCGTGTACACTTTAGTAAGAACAGAGCGTTTCTAGAAGAATAGCCAAGAACTTCAGCAACGGGAGGAGGATGGCTAATTTTATTTGAACCATGGACCCATGGAGGTAACGGATTTGTATGTGGGTTTTCAGGTGACAGGCGTGTACTCTCGCCCCCTGCCCCCCACACCCTGGCACACACTTGTAGGTGGGTGTACAAGGGGAGCACTCACCTTTCCAACCACTTCCACTGGAGAAAGCGATCAAAATACATGCTGTCCAGATACTCATGGAATGGTTCGCCCTTCAGGTAGTCGTGGACAGACCTAGCTCGGAGGGAACCAACAAACATTTTATAATCCTGACCTTAAGCAGACAGGCGGAGCCATATATCCAGCAGGTTAACCACCAGCCTCAGAGGCCCAGCATCCTGCCAAAGTGATGGGCTGATCCTACAAACACTTACTGGGTACCTGCCACAGCACTGCTCTAGGCCTGGGGTACAGCCGTGAGCACGAAGTTGGCATCGCGATGTGGGACACAACCAGCAAGTAACAAACATCTAATAAACCGCTGCAGAGGCATGTGCTCATGAGAGAGGGTTAAGTGAGGTCCACCCTCCACCCCCGGCCATGTAATCATGACCTGAGCTGAAATCAAGAGTCGGATGCTCAACCGACTGACTGAGCCACCCAGGCACCCCAAGAAGGGACTCTTGAGCTGCAAT